GGGAGAGAGGGATGGAGGGAGAGAGGGATGGAGGGAGGGAATGCGGTGTGGAGTGGGGTGGGTGGGGGGGGGGGGCAAAGCGCAAAAAATGAAGTGAGCCAGTCCAATTTTATCCAAATCCATCAAGCTGGACAGTTCTGTTTCGGGAATGATTGAGAGGTGCGGGGATGCGAAGGGATGGAGGGAAACAGGTGGGGCAGCGGCGGGGTGAGCGGGTTAAGCAAGGAAAACAGAGGGAGCCCCTCAGAAGTAGAAAAAACGCTCTGATGAAACTAAAACGGGAGGAAGATGAGTTAACCGGTGAGCTGTGACACATTTGAGGTGAAAGAGGATGGAGTGATGAGGCTGGGAGGGGGGCCGGGAGACGCGGACACTCACCCATTTCAGCGGGCTCTCCTCAGGCAAGCACAATCCCTGCTCTGTGATCCCATCCCGGGGAAAAGGCGCAGCGAGATCCTGGAGCTCCCTCCGCTGAATACCAATGGAGCTGCTATTATCAGCTTACACACACTGACTCACACACACACACACACACACACACCGGCGCTGAGGAAGAGGCACAAACGCAGAGTCAAGTCAGGGCTGCATGTTCAAATCAGAGGGGGAAAAAATGCAGTTTGACAATGCATGTCACAGTAGAAAAATCACTGGTGTGCTCCCCCCTACCCCCCACCCCATTTTTTTTATTAATGTTTCTTCATGAAAAAAGCAGCCTGAAACAACCATTCACACACTCCCGTTCCCCGCCTGTGTCAGTACTTACTGAGATTATATTCAAAATCCCAGCGAGTCCCACGGTTGACTCTGTTCCGGCTCACAGCTCTGCTTCCAAGGGAGACGAATGAGTTGTCCGCTATTTTCCCTCGCCTCCCCGTGGGCTCCTCGCAGCTCTGATGCAGAGATACACACACATTAAGACAAACACTTCCTCCTTTATACGCAGTATCCATCCAGTTTTTCAGTCTCCATTTGTTGATTTAGGTCCAGTTCGTCCGCCTGGCTGTGGACTTCACTGTGATTCGGCGTTCACTCAGTCACGCACTCCCTCTGCTCAATAGTACAGCCGTACCTCCTTGGCTCTCTCCAATCTAATCAGCTCTCTCTCTCTCTCTCTCTCTCTCTCTCTCTCTCTCTCTCTCTCTCTCTCTCTCTTTCACACACCCTCCCCCCCCCTCTTCCCAGTCCCTTGTTCCTCCTTCCCAGCACCCGCTCCTTTACTCCTCCTTTCTCTCTCCCTCCAAGATATTTTTCTCAAAGATGAATATCTGCCCTCCTCCACTCCTCATCCGTTCTTCTTTCTGTCACTTCATCAGATAAGGGTTTGAAACAAGAGCAAAAGAAGAGACGAAAAAACTGGTCATCTGGAGCATTTTTTTTCACACATCCACACAGAGAGGAGGGAGTATGGGAGACAGAAGAAACTCATGAGGATGGGTTTCATCGTCAGCAGGGTAAACTAGGCTGACAAAGTTTGTCATGCCTCCATGGTCGGGGTGACAAACACCATCAAACCACCACACGACTCGCCTCACACCCGATGACACGCAAACACATCTCCGCAGAGACCGACTGAAATCTGATGGAGCAAACACTTAGGGTGATGGTAAAGAGACCTTCCAACTGCAAAAGCTTCACCGTATTCATAAAAAAAAATGCCGTAATGCTGAATTAATCGGATTAATAAGCGGTGATTGAAATAATCGTCAATTTAGAAATCAATTAATCGTTACCTGGCATATACAGAATCAAAATAAGGCCATTTGCTGAAAAAAACAAAAAACAAACTCAAAGCAGTAATTAAACCAAATCTGCACAATACATATATAGAGAGATATATTTACAGCTCTGGAAAAAAAATTAGGAGACCACATAAAATGATCAGTTCTCTGATTTTTACTTTTTATAGTTATATGTTTAAATAAAATGAACTTTGTTCTTTCATTCTATGAGCTACTGACAACATGTCTCCGAAATCCCAAGCAAATATTTAGTATTTACTTTCAGAGAAATTTGAGAAATGGTCAAAACAAGTTCATATTCATACTAATGTTTCAACTCAGGAAGGGATCAGAAATCAATATTTGATGGAATAACCAGGAGCTTTTCAATGGGGTTCAATGCAGTGGTGGCTTCATTTTGTCCAGAGCTGTATACATTTTCTATTTAAGATAAAAACACTCAGTCAGTTCAAATTCACTAAAGGAAATCAACGTTTTTAGGCAACAAAATGTTTAACTGCATTAAACACATTTAAATAAATCTTAACACAGAGCAACAGTAGCTCAAACATGTAAGCAGGCACACGGATGTGTAAAAGGTTTAAAAATAAATCCATCTTTTCTTGCAGTTGGATAAACTCACTGACAATTTAAATGAACTATTTAACATTATTCTTATTTTTGTTGTTATAGATCATGGCACTGGTAGTCATTGTATCAGGGTTTATTTACTTAATTAATTCTTCATGTTCCATTATTATTTATTAATTAAACATAATATGTCAACAACAATGATGATCGTTGCTACTATTATGTTTTAAATGTCGCACACATCCATGCTAACATTGACTTAAACTATCAGTCATCGCACTGTTCTTATAACATGTATAGTTTCTAATATATGTTTTGCTTTTCTGTCTTTAAAATCCCGCTGCAACATAAGCTGAAGTATTTGGATCTGTTCTTTGGGTACACCATGTGAAGACGATGCAGTCCTGGGTTAAACTGCTTCCTTAAAGTCATTTGCTTAATGTCATCCCCTTTATCTTTCTGCCCTCTTTCCAGTCAATTTAATGTCAAAAAAAGGCCTCTAGTACCAAAAAATATTCTTGACTTATTTAAGATGAGAGTTTCTAGGAACTTCTAATTAGTAACCCATGATTTTGTGTTTGTCTTAATGTGTGTGTATCTCTGCATCAGAGCTGCGAGGAGCTGCGAGGAGCCCACGGGGAGGCGAGGGAAAAAGAGCAGCATCTTGGTGTCAGTAGTGGTTTTTGACCTACCATATCAAATGTAAACATGTAGAGTTTCCTAAACTCTGCTGGGATTTTAACTGGGACCAGAAGCTTTAGCCAGATGAGACTGGATTTATTTGGCATCAAACTCTGCAGGTGGATTTGACATAAAACATTCTACAGAGAATGAATGTAAGGAATAAAAAATAAACTAAAAACTAAAGCAGCATTATTCTATGTAACTCATTGGAGTAATGAGCCAAAAGAAAAGGCTAATCAACATATTTTTTTTTCTAAAGGTGCAAAGTCAATCTTTTTCCTTGGCTGTACAACTAAATCTGCTGAAGGGAAGAGAGTATAAAACATAATTCAGGATCCTGGATTATCTAGTTTCTAAACCTTTCTAATCTTACAACAAAAAGCATTATAATATAATGATTGTTTCTATTTATAAGGTTTTACATTGTTATTTAATCTAACTTCTGAAGTCAGTCTAAAGCATTGGTGTCCAAACTTTTTGCCATCAGAGCTAAAATCATTAAGTTGAACGCATGTGCCACATGTAAAAAAAAGAAAGAAAAAAGAAGCTAATATAAAAAAAAATAATAGAATTTAATACAACTTTATAAAATCAAACTTTTTGAGCCTTTTTCATTTTATCTGCTAAATAATGAACCAAAAAAATTAAATTTTATTGTTGGATTTTTAAACAAACGGATCAGTAAATCAGAAAACATGGAGGTACTGCAAGACCAGACTGCCCAAAATCTTTCATAGGGCTCCAAATGGCTCCCGGGCCGCACATTGGACATTAGCAGCTTGTTGATTTACCTAAAGAGATTCTGCAAGGATGATGGATTCAAGATTTCTCCCTCAAATCTTGTGAAATGCTAAAGGAGAAGACTAAGTGCTATGCTGCCACTAAAGGATGGCTGTAAAAATTATTAACAGCAGAGGTGCCAATATTTATATCACCACTTAAATTAAAGATTGGATTCTTGATTGCTTTAAATTAAAGCTAATAAATTTGCCTACTGCTGTGCATTCTGCAAATGCCCGACTATCATAAATCAAGTGCAGTAAAGTATTGTGGATACTTTACCAGGCTGTTTACATACAATAAATAAAACGAGAACATAGATATGCAATGAGAAGTGTTCAGTTACTTCCTCGCCATCATCCTAATGCACAGAAGATGGAGTGAAACAGTGTTTACATTACTGAAATAATGGACACAGCTTTAATGAAAATGAAAACTGATAATGTCAGCTCAAATGTTTGTAATTATGAAAACATGGCAGCTCGGTTTGCAGGGAATTGTGAACTGTGGCGCTTGGACTCCTGCAGCGCCATGTGCAGACGTGTCTGTGTGTAGTACACATCCATAGCATCATTACTCCTCTCAGCAGAGCATCCTGTCACTTTATGCAGGACGCCGTTGAATGGAGCTGACACACTATTTACAATGTTCAGACATACAAGAAGAAAACCCACAACAGCATGAAACCAATCTGCAGCGACGCTCATCCAGGCCCGGGCATTAGGAGGCACTGGGGGGCATTGCCCGCCTAAACAGTCAGCCGCGCCCCCTATGGACTTCAAGCTTTTTCTGCTCATTTTTACCTCAGAGTGGCCAACTTTCTATTATTTCTATCTCGATTTGATACAGTAGGGGTTCCCGCACTTCCCTTATCTGTGATTTCTAACCCCAGAACTTATAACGGTTTAATCCATTGTTAACATGTTGTAACGTATTTTTCCGAGCTGCTTTTAAACGCAACATGAGTCCTAATATGAGTGGCAGTGACGGAGACCTGCCGCTGCTGCGTGGAGCTGCACAGGTGTGTGTTAGAAACAGTAAACCCGCAAAAGACAAAAGAAAACTTTTAACAGTTTTACTTTCCCCCGAAGCTAACCGAGTGAGCTGAGTAATGCTGCTGGATGCAGGTAATGTTAGCGAACATTAGCAAGCTAACTCCAATATACCATGTTACGCTAGTAATAAGTATAAGCTAAGTAATGTTCTCATCTATGTTCAAAAGTGGGTAGTACTAGTTACATTTACTTGAGTAACTTTTTTTTTGGGGGGAAAGGTACTTATAAGAGTAATTTTACTGCACTGCACATTTTTTTTTCTTAAGTAATATTATTATTCCTGCCATTTCAGTAGATTGTTTTCGCAATTGAAAACATTAGATTCTTAAACTGTTTTTTAGCGGTTTCTCCTAAACTGGAGACGCAAAAATAAATAAATAAAGTCTCAAGTTTACGGTAAAATAACGGAAGCTGTGGTTGTTAGAATTTTCCCGTTTAAATACGCATAAATACCGTGAAGTTTTGCCATTTATACTGTACACGAATTTTACCGTATTCATATGAATTTGTACGGTAAAATTCTGGCATCCACAGTTGCGGGTATTTTTTATCGTAAATTAGAGAATTTTTAGTGTCGATTTCTGCAATTTATAATCTAATGTTTATGCAAATCTGACATGCTGATTATTTTGTTTGAAAGGTGACATAAAGGTGTGTCTATGTATTTATATTAAAGCAAAAGCTCGTTTCTGTTAAATTCCTCTGGAGCTCATCGCTGGTACTATACGACGTCCCGTGTCGCCCTTTCCCCCCCCGCAGCTCTGGGCCTGCAGCCTGAGGCGCCTCTGCTCCTCTCGGCTCAGTCCACCTCCTGTTTTTGATATAGATCTGTTCCTCAACCTTACGGCCCCTGAGCTCTCCGTGTCCTCTAAAGCTATTAAACTCACCACAGCGTGTTGAATCATTGATTTTGTCACTGCGCATGACTTGGCTTTTTAATTGCTAGTGTCAACACTCTGCTGGCTTTACAACTGCATTTGTGAGTTATGCTCTGAAGAGATAATCAGTTCTAGCGTCCATTCAGATTGTCAGAATAAGCAGCGGGATCTATTAATGATGAACTCTCATTCATGATTCGGGCGCAGAGCGGTGTGGGGTGTGACTGTGGGACCGATCTGTGGCTGAGACGGGAGCCTTTGGAAAGATCAGCTCTGGTTTGTCCGGCGAAGCTGTCGCCTAATCAAACGAGGGAGCAAAAATAGCATGTGACAATGCTGAGCTGTCTCCTCTGTTTTGCTTTCAAACAGCCTCCACCCCCACACCATTCATCATCATCATGTTTTCACCTATTCACTTTGCAT